GAACTAACATATTTTCCACCTTAAACAGTTATAACCCAGTATTCCACAATCAATACAATGAATCTGTGACATAAAGTCATTCTAGTTTTCATTAGTTTCCTTTTTTTTTTTTTTCCTGCTAGCAATAAGTTCTTCAAAACACATTTAATAACTCAGTTCTCTCCTTTCTGCAGTCATTATTTCCATCTCCCACACTCAAATAGCTGATCCAGACACTGGCAACAATTCACACCTTATGCAGTATTTTCTATACAGTTGAAGATTTAAAAAACAAACAAACAAACAAACAAAAAAAAACATTGACTTCACTAAAGTTCCTTTTAGTTCCATTAACTTCCCTCAAGAAGGTTCTCTTTGCAAAAATTCACTGTACTTTCAACCACTTTTTCAACTGCTATAAAAGCTACGGCAATCTGGTCAGTCTTTATATGACTAAACGGGTTCACTTTACTTTTAATTTCTATCATCTCTGCCTTCTGCCACTACCAGTGCTGTAAACAGGAACTTCCTCTATCACAAGGTTCTATGCTCTTTTTTTTTTTTTTCATCCCCCCCCAATAAAAATACTCTGTAGAGGTGATTTCCAAGTTGCTTACTCTGAGGAAGTTGAAGTTTCATATTAAGCATACAGATGCTTTTCAGAGGAGGACCACCATCCTGAACAGTACTAGCATAGTGGCTGAGTAAGAGGTATGTTTCAATCCTGTTACACAATACAACTCTGCAGTAAAACCGGTAAACTTTGTAGACAGCCATTTTAATTTACCATTATTTACTGTCAAGAAAGGATTTCATTTAAAAAGAATAAAGATTATTTCAGCTATCTTGGTAGCACAGCTGCCACTCTACATGAAAGTGTCAACAAAAGTTGCTAAGCCAGTACATCACAGCAAAAGGGAATCGATAGTGATAAACATTAAACACATTTTATTAAATGAAAAAGGTAAAGATTTGAAAAAATACATTAATTATAGGACAGAGCAATACATTATTGTCTATGCTTCCCAGTTGCACAAAAGTGTCCTGCAAACAAAAAAAGAAAAAAAAAAGAAAGAAAAAAAAAAGAGAGAAAAGCCAACGAGGGGAATGCATAGATTTCAGGTGTTCATTTTCTACACTGATATCCAAATGATTTATGTGGACTGGCACTATGTAACCTGGTAGGACCACAAAGTCAGATTATCATTCTGATGGTGAAATTGGGATTTTACAGACTACATTATTTCCTGAAAGCTGTGAACCTTAATAATTTATGTACTTTAAAAAAAAAAAAAAAAATCAAAGCCATCCAAAATTCGTGGCCATTCTGCCTGCGCAGAGCCCAGTGAGATGTCTTGGCAGCACAGCCTGGCACCCAGGTGGGCAGAACCTCACCTGGAACTGGGGGCAAGCTGATGTAGTAAGCACTCGCACTAGCATTAAAACCTGGAAAAGGGTAAATATTTGCATATTTCCTTTCGGCTGAAGACAGGCATTCTGTTGCTACTTAAGTAAAGCCACCCTTTCCTCCAAGGCTCACACTCAGATGCCCCGGGCCGGCAATCAGCACGTACACCAGCACACCACACGCCCGTTTCGATCGCTTCGGCATTACTTATTAGCCGGGGGCATTCAGGTGGCATCGCAACACACGGTTTAATTTCTTCCTGCTGCGGCTCAGCCCCCCGGTGCGCCCGTGTCAGCGCAGGGACGGCCCCGCAGCCGGCCATGTTCGAGGGGCGGGGGTCAGCCGCTGCCCGGCGCCCCGCAGGCGGCCCTGGGGTGCCCGGGGAGAGCGGAGCCGCGTGGCAGGGGGACGGAGACCCTCGCCGGGGCACCGCCGCGGGGAGGAGGCACGGCGGGGCAGCCCCGACCCCTCCGCCGGGCGCGACGGCGAAAGAAGCAAAGGTTCTACCTCCTTCTTTTTCTGGCCTCCCCCGAGCTGGCCGCAGAGAAAGAGGAGGAGCAGCAGCAAGAGGAGGAGACAGTTCCCGGCCGACAGGTGCAGCATCCGCCGCAGGACACGGCTACCCGACGCCATATTCCCCCCTCCCGCTAGCCGCTGGCCTCCGCAGGAGAGCACCTGCGACGCCGCTGCCCACCTCCTTCCGTCGATTGGATGCGGACCGGGGCCAATCGCAGCGCCCCGCGCCGCAGAGGCTCTTGGGAAATGTAGTCATCAGCCGCAGCGCCGCGCGCTGGTGAGTGCGCTCCAACGTCAGTTTGGCGGCGGTGCCAGAGGCGGCGTGGCAGGGCTCGGTGTCAGGGCTCGGTGTCAGGCACGTCGGACACCAGCGCACGGGGTCCTACGCGCAGTGGTGTGCGATGAAGGCTTGCTGGCGGGTTTATCAGGGGCGGCATCTACCACAGCTGTTGCCTGAGAGGTAGCAGTGGTCCCTAGGCAGGCAGAGATATCAGTGTGCAGCTTGGGCTTGGTGAGCAGCTTTACCCGCTGGCCAAAATTCCCCGTCCCCAGAACAGCTGGCCACCATGACAGCTGCCAGAGGCACTGAGTGCAATGATGAGTTGATACTATATAAAACAATAGAAAGCTGAAGAGCCTTATTTTCCATGTTTGTATGCATACGCATTTCATTATTCACACAGAAAGTCATCTTTGCAGAAAATAATATTCATGTAATACACTAATAAAATTATTTTTTATTTTATTCTCAGAGCATTAACCATGCAACTTAAATTTGATATTCTTGTGCACAGTACACTATTCAAGTCACCAATTGCATTTCTTTCTATGGAACACATGCTGCAGTGGGCAGGCTAGGTAATATTAAATTAATGAAGACCTACCTACTTTTTTTTTTATTTTTTTTCCAGATTCCAGGTGTTCATCTTAAGCTGTGTACTTTATTTTCACACACCTGTGCTGAAGGCACAGACAGAACTATTCATTTCTTCAGAAATTTTGCTATCTCATTCAAAAATATTATTACTTTTCTAATCAGAACAGCAGATAAAAATAGAAAGCTGAGGCACTGAGAGAGTACTCAAAAGTGTACTTATTTTGGGCACAGAACTTTTAGATGGTATTTTAATGATAGTATTGGATGCTAGATAAGTGATACTACAGACATCTTAGCAACATGTGTTTAAAATATTAAATAAGACTGCGGAGTTCCTTTATATTTGCAATGTGCCTTTGAAAAGTTACTCGTATCCATAGGAACTATGAATCATATTCAGCTAATCTACCAGACACTTAAAATTGATCTAAGTTTCTTAAATTCAAGAAAGGTAAAAATCACGTTATCCACATATGTCAGATTCTGTCACTGGACAATAGTAACCATAAGGTGGTCAGTAATGTGGGCTCTGCTTCTAAATTATATATAAAAGAAGGCAATATTCATATGTTTACACCCACTTTCTAGTCTGTGGCTGAAAAGAAACAGTAGGAACAACTTACTGGAGTCTAATACAGAGGCATTTATTGAGAATCCTACACTTCCAAAATAGTTTCTCCAATATAATTTGCATTACGAATAGTAATGCCAACAGTATGAACATTTCAACATGACTGACAAAAAGTATCTTAGTACTGCTATTATCAATACCACAATACTATGTTAACCACTATATAATAAGCTAAATGACCTGGAGAACAGAGTATGATACCATAGTATTGCCTCCCATGGAATCTACTTCCCTACAATAAATGACTAAAAAAGGAAAACTGAAAAACTAAAAAACTTAAATAAAAAAAAAAAAAAAACACCTAAAAAAAACAAACCAAACCAAACCAAAAAAGCTGCTGTTAGAATGGATTACAGAGGTTCCTAACACAGAACTCTGCTTCATAGAGACAGGATATTCCTATCAGAATGATGTTTTAAAAGATGTAGACCTTGTTCTCACCTCTACATTTAGAAACATTACACTGGAAGAAGAGACGCTTTTCTTAACAAATGTGCTAAAAGAAATAATATGTAATATGTAGTTTAAATATCTCAGGATATTCTTGCTAAATCCAGAACTGTTGTAATCCTCTTGGTCTCCTCCTGAGCCTCAGGCACTGTGGACCTTTCTCATTTTCACTGTGTGAGAACAGAATTAAAACTATGAGAACATGAGTGGTTGCACTGGAAAACTGTTTCCTTCAAAATGCTAAGAAATTGTTTTGACGCAATACAGATCTGTCAAGGATTTAACTTTTCTTTTAATCAAAAGTCTCAATTTTCAAGAATCCTGAAAGTCTTGACCATGAGCAGGAAACAGCAGTATGGCAGCATGGGCAATTTGACTTTTTTCTGCTCCGATTTCTAACCTGTGTTCTGTATGTTCTGTATAAACCCCAGAACTTTCATATTCATGTTATTTGTGATTTTATTATTATTATTATTATTATTATTATTTTTCTTTAGCTCATTGAATAAAGGAGACTTCACATAGTTTATTTAATGTTTGGGAGCTGCAACACAATTAAACCACTGAACCTGCAACTGTGTTTTGTTTTGTTTTTCACTTTGAAGCTATCTAGAGATAGAGCTAGCCTCAAGGATATTTCATACAGACGTAGCTGCTGTATAATCATAACATGTATGATGATGTTAATGAAGGCCTAAAAGTGAAAGGATGTTTTCCTTTCCATCTCTTCTCAAGAAACTACAGATGAAAGAGTAAAAGAAGTGCAGTGCTGGAGTTGGATTAATGGACTGCCTGAAATCTCATTTCACTGCAGAGTGCAGTGAAGTTTGGGTAGGGAGAGCAGTATGAGGAACAGCTAATGTGAATGTGACTAACCAACAGATCAGATTAACTAAAATCAAAACTTGCAATTCACAAACATTAAAAACAAATAAACAAACAAAAAAACTTAAAGAATGAGTAAAGATAGTTGCATAAATGGAAAAGAGTAGTCCAACTGTTTCCTGGAAGAAAAAAAATAAAGTGTTCATAAACATTTTAGTAACACTTTAACAAGTAGTCACGATCTTTCTATCTTGCCTAGTTTGTTAACATTCTTTTTTCTTTCCTTGTAATAAGACTATTGTTTGTATGCTATGTAATTAGTTGGTTGTTTTGTTTTTTTTTTAATCCATGTGTGTGGAGACTCAGAGGAGGAATAGGTAGAACTCAAGCTGGTATGTTCTTTCCTGTTCTTTTGTTTTAAATAATCCCCAAATAACTCCCTTAAATTTAAATCTAACATATTTTTACAGCCAATCAATTCCTGACAGAACAGTTATGTGGCTTAGGCAGCCATGTCCAGGTGTATACAAAAAAGAGTTACTGCTCTGGTTGCCGAGTTTCATCTACTACATCTTTAATTAGTTTTGTTAGTTTTTCTGCTGAACTGAGTTTTGATAAGAAGGAATTTCCAAAAACATTCAGTATTTTCTGCAGATAGCTTTTAAGTCTATTGGGGTTTTTCATTTGACACATATATGTTTTCCTAATTATCTATAATTAGCATCCAAACCACATTTCATCTGAAGTACTCAGTTTCAGAATTTGTTTTCAACTGAAAATTTAAACATAATGTTCAGACATCTCAGATAGAGTAAGTTTAAGAAAATATTAACTTTATTGCCAACTTGGGAGGGAGCACAGCATTACATCTTCTGGACAGCCATTTACTAGTCTGTCCTCAGTTTTGAGCAAGCCCATCATTTGTTATGACAGCAGCAGCTCACTTTAATGGGAGAAATGTCACATGAGACTTCTGTGCTACAACTTCAAGGAAACAAGAATTGCATTTGCTAAGTATGATTTAATATTGACCTGACCCAAAACGAAGTGGTTTGGTCATTTTATTAAGCTATGATGAAACATGTTAGTTCTGGAAATGTTTATTTAAAAAAAAATAATAATAATAATAATGTGCTAAAATTCTTGGACATTTCTTAATTAAAACTTCAAAGTTTTCTTCATTGTCATTTGGGACCAAAATAAATAATGTCATGTCAGAATTTTCTGCAAGAAATTTTTATTAATGTAATCCTGTTCTTTAGGTGATGGATGTTACAAAGTGTCAAAGCAAGGGCTACTTCTGAGAGAAAAGATTACAAACTTCAGACAAAACACAGTTTTCTAAAGACGATCTTTTTTTATTTCTCTGTGGTCATTTAAGAGTCTCTGGTCAGAAGATGCAAACTTTTATGTTCAAAGATGGATTTACTCCCATAGTCAAATGGAATGATACATTCTCTTCTAGCTTCAGCCATCAGCCTTCAGAGAGGTTTTTGTTGTTGGTGGGTTTTTTTTCCCCATTGGTATCTCTTTAACCAGTAAGCCACATCACTGGGGATTTGGTGTCCTGAGTTTTATGCATAAATATTCTTTCTGATGTTACAGATGAAGCATACTGAACAAAACTTGGAATATTTAAGAGATGCTGCCTCCCAGAGAGACAAGCTGCCATTAATCAATTGCTGTCAGTAAGTGGCAATGTGAAGCAAAACTATTCTTATATTTGGAAAGCAGTAGGAGTATTACCTCTCACAGATGTGCTTTTCAAGATATTGAGGTTCTTGAATTTTTTGGCATTGCACAGATCCTAATGCATGCCATTAGAAAAAAATTGCTCAAGGGATGTGGTTAGCAGTAGATTAGCACTTGCTGATTCCTCTTCTGAACTTTGTTTACAATGAGTAAAGAAGATAAAACTACCTAGCTACCTGTCATCCATCCAAGCTCACCAGTTCTCTAAGGGTACTGTTACATCTCTCTCTGTCTCTCACTTCCTCATTTCCACATCCTTATCAAAAGCAAGAAAGCAAGGTAGGACTTCAGGCAACAGTTGACCAGGCTAGCAATATTGAAAATACCTTACATAGCTGAAACCATATGATTTTTCTAGCATATTTTATTTTCTTTCTGAGTGAAACACTGATCTTTTCCTCAAGAATACATCAATAAAGTGTGCTGTGTTCATTGTTACACATTAATTTTATAAGCATGCTTTATACCTCTTTTACAGTATGATAGAAAAGCACTGTGAAAGCAGATTGACTACAGAACTTTTGTTTTTCTCTTTGGTATTTTTCATTGTGTTTAATTTTAATAAACCTCTTACATATACAAATTCAATTGATGTAATTTTTTCTATCATTGTCCTATTTCATTAGTTTCAGCTAGGATTCAAGAAAGTATTATGC